CGGTCCTTTTCTTTCAAATCTGTAATCCCATTATGACATATGGTTTTCCATCAGTCTTCTCCGCTGGTGTATTTTAGCCGATAATAGGCTTGCTTTGGTTGTGCATACATGGCGACGCATCACATGACGGACACGAGTGGATCCAGATGAGCCTGTTGCTCAGCTGTTAATGGTCCTTCCAGCAATGGACCAGTCCTCCCAGTGGGTTCACTGGAGTCGTTGTATGCATTGGACTGATGTAGTTCGTGCACTTATAAAACCTGGCGTTAATCCATTTAGGTCTGAGTCTGTTGGTTTAATAGATTTATGTAGACGGTGCCGACAAGGTTGTTACTTTCTATCCTTTATCGAGCCCTAAACCGAACCCTAACCCTATCGAGCAGCGTGATGCAGCGGGACCACATCAGAGGCATTTTCAAAGTGCCAGTAATGGACTACTGTATAAATTGTAAAATTAGAGCATTTGTGTTTCTTTATAAACAATCGAAAACTTTTTTTTCCAAAGTGGCGGTCAGCGCCCTGTGAGGGAAGCCTTTTAGATGCTCTGGAAACTCCTCGCTGCATTTTCTTTCACAGTGTGCTTTCAACATCGGGGCGTGCCCGAGTGACCTGCTGCTGTTAGTGGACTGCTTTCTTCGCACAGGGAGGACGAGTGGATTAGATTAAGGTTTAGATTTAACGGCGTGTCCACTGAGCTGCGGCGTATCCGTGTGGCAGCTGCGTGTGTGTGATCTCAATGATTGGAAGCAGGGAGTCTATTATAGCAGCACTTTGTATAATACAGCATAGACACAATAGTGTGCACTGTGCACGGGTGAAGTCGTTTAGGTCTGTGCCCGTTCTCCTCTAGAATGCAGATTATTGCTTTCCGATGTGATGCAATCACTGAATGACAGCAGCTCATGACAAAGCAGCGATAACGTCTCTGAGGGGAACGCAGGTGCTCGTCGTTGGTGCGTGTTAGCGATAGTGGATTAAGTACAGCAGTGTGTGGATGACTAAGCTCTGATGGTGTGAAGCTACAGCATGGTCCACTGTAGACTGCACTTCTGAGACAGTAAAGAGGAAGCAGGATGACGAACTGAGGAAGAACATGTTTGACTGTGCAGAGATGGGGAACTGGTTTCAGAATCATGTGAATGACTGGATTGTGTGCGTTTTTGCATAAGTACGTACACGATGTTATCTCGTGTGTAATGTTTGGGCCGCAAACTCGAGGGACCTGGTCATGTGTTAACAGCATATCACTGTGTGTGTGTGTGCGTGCACGAGGAGACACCATCTGTTTATGGGGCCTGTGTGTGTTTAGACGTGTGCAAATGTTCTCTCGCTGCCCAGCTGGCAAACTGACCTCTCCAGCAGCGTTCACTGTGAGCATGTGAGAAAACTAATTTAATGTCGGATATTTTCATATCATCAAACAGGAGCGAGGAAGAAGCCGCCGTCAGTGAGGAAGATATTAGAGGTTGTTCCCAGCAATGTGACTAAGTACAGCCCTCTGTCCTGTCAGAGTGGCTGTGAGTAGGCTGCACTCTGCCCTGGAAGGCTTTGCTTTGGGGGCTGCTCCTGGAAGGGCAAACTCCAGAGATGGGTGTAAGCGTACCAGGAAATGGATTAATTATTTCTGGAGATGTAAGATTTATATTTTATAGGTTTGCCTAATGACCTAACAGCAGTTAAAGGATAAAATAGCAAAATCGTTGCTGAAACAAGTGGAATTTCCAGCTTCCAGTTTCAAATCATAGCGTTCAAGATCCAAACACTGCTGTTTTATAGCTGACACGCTGCGCTCGTGGACATTTTACAATGCTACCATAGCCTTTATTTATTTTTGTAAACCATGTTTTTGGCCCTCAGGTACGCAGATGTTTGAAATGACTCAAAGGGTGAGGTGTTACCAGCATGCTTGTATTTTGGTCCTTGCGTAGTCGTAAAGCCTCAGTTTAGCTGAGCTGTCATGCTTATCACACATTGTAATCACACATTGGTCTGTAAAAAGAAAAGTCATAAAGGAGGCATTCATGACATCTTTTGACACGTTATTAAATGTCTGTGTAATTTCTCTTTCAATAACTGACAGAATACAACACATGCAAGCCAAGACTGTTAAACACATCATGAGTTAAATGCACTTCATAGTCACAGAGTAACAGAGCAGGCCTGCATTGCTCACTTAATAAAGATGTTGTTGAGTAACTGACTTTTACCCAAACAGGGCAGTGACGCTCGTTTCATCATCCCTGCTTAGGAACGTTTAAAGCGGTGGGAATGTTAAGCTCGGGATCGCGACGTGCTCAAACAAACCAACATCAGTGATTATTGGTTTTTGGTGTTTTTCTGTGGAGATTTATGCAGTAAAATGGTTATTCTGAAGTAGTTCATTCAACATGAAATATCAGCTTTCAATTTTGTATTGATTTAAACTGACGTGAAGAAAATTGTGAACCAAACTTATATGAATTCATAAATCTTTATCCAGTTATTTTGATTAGAGTGTGTTTTAGCATCAAAGCAATTCAGTCAGTTATTCTCTTTGTGTGTGTGTGTGTGTTCCTGTCTAGCTATCTTTGTGAGGACCAACAGTCACTTGTGAGGACACACTCACAAGTTTGAAGGCCTTTTTGAGGCTCAAAATGTGGTTTTAGTGTCAGGGTTACAGTTAGGTTTAGGGTCAGGCATTCATTTGTAATGGTTAGGGTGAGGGGCTGGGGAAACCATTATGTCAATGAAGGTCCTCACTAGGATAGCTAAACAGGCTTGTGTGTGTGACATACAATGCCTCCTTTTCTGTATTTCCCTCTCGTCTTTATCTCTGGCTTTCTCAGTCTGTGTATATGTGCGCTTGTGTCTTGCTGACACGATCGGAGGCGACCGGCCGAAGGGAGAACAAACGGCGTCCGTCCCTCGCGGCTGCGCTGCTTCCCACAGGCTGTTCCCACCGTGTGTGTGTGGTTTCTCTCTCTAGAACACAAGATAATTGGGTTTAAGCCTCAGAAGAGGAGAATAGAAGGGGGAAGGGAAGCAAAACTGAGGGAAAAAGGTGGTGGTGTTTTGCTCAGAGAGGCAAAGGAGCGTTATAGATGGAAGGAGGCAGAATTTAATGAAGGCAAAAAATACCCAGCGCATAGAAATGGGGCAAAGAATTGCAGTCTGCAAACAGGGGATAGAAAAGACTGAAATTACAGGAGAAAATAGGAAGTGTGACAGTGATGGAAACAAGGATGAAGTAGGAGAACAAGAAAGGAAAGAGGGAAGAACACAAAGAGCAAGGAGGAGAGTCCCAGGGACAACACGCTGAAGCAGTGAGGCACGAGAATTCAGTTTCTTCTTTCTCAAAGGACAGAAAAGTGTTGTGGGAGTGTGAAAGGAAACAGGATAGGAGAGAAGAGGGTGCAGCGATATACGAGGAGGGAGGATGAGTGTGAATCAGACTGGGAAGGTAAGAGGAGGAAGATGAAGACATTTTGAGCTACAGAGGAGAGATCGGCAAGTGAAACAACATGTTATAACTTATTCAGCAAGCTAGAAGAAGTGACAAAGAGAGTCAAGGACAAAGAGCAAAGAGCACTTCTCTCCTGGACTCTGCTCTCCTTGATAATTATTAGCTGCCTTTTTCTGAGACGCTCAGACTCCAGCAGAGGAACTGGGCTGCAGAGAGCAGGGGCAGCTCGTGCTGGCACCAACTCCAGTGTGGCACGGAGAGGCCGTCTACAACTGGTCGTCCAAAACGGTCCGTCAGCTAGATAGTCATCCTTCATTGGCCAAATGTAGCCATGGGCGTGCTCTATACTGGAATGATTTGATTGGTCGCTTCAGTGAGCCATGAACTAACAGCAGGGGTCATCATAGCTGTG